GGCTGTTCATGATCCTAGGAGATTTCAGGGGTGGGGAAACTGGATTGAACGCGCTGACATACAACAAGCAAAAAAAGACCTCAGCATTTTTGCCTCGCCTCGGTGGCTCCTGCCTTTTTTTTTTTTCCCCTCTCCCTCTCTCATTTATTTATGACTCTGCTACTCCCTGGCCCTGCTGCTGTGTCAACACTGATAAAAGCAAATCTCCCCACAAACAGGTGCAGCCAGAGCTGCCCCTTGGACAGCTGCCAGGGAATGTGATCGCTCAGCTGAGGTGACCTGCCCCTGCCCAACCCCCTTCTCGGGTTCCAGCCCAGGGCATGTGTCCTTGGGCAGTTAATGTCTGTGTTCAGAGCCTGGTATCTCGGTTGGCATCACAGACTCCAGATAGCAGATGTGGCTGGGGTGGGGTGGGCCTGTGCAGGACCGGAGGGGTGGGGGCCTCCACGAGTTATTTATGTATTTTTCCCTTTGGTTTCTTCTGAAATTCAGATACCACCATGTCACCCAGTTCCTCCTGCAAGTATTTGAAAATCTTTCCTAGGAAGATCACTGCCTGCTTTTTGTAGGTAACAAATTTTTTTTTTCCAGGCCTACCCATTTCCACACTCACACATACACTTGGAATGTAATGATCCGAAAGACATGATCCGAGTACCTCCTGGGGTTTCCTTCAGGGGGTCACCTAAAGAAACACTGGGTGAGCCAACCCTGTTATCCAGGGTGCATTTTGATGCTCCCAAGCCATGTGACTTTGCCTCCGGTTTGTAAAAGCGGAATTTCATCCCCCACTCCCCTCCCCACCCCCCGTTTCAGTGTTTTGTCCCCAAGCATCATTTCCCCACCTCCCGAGGGCACCAGCCTTTCCGGAAATGCCCGAGCTCCGCCGGCAGCCTCCACCTCCCGGGGGGTGAGCGCGGGCACCAGGCGGGGACGGCAGCGGGCGGGCGGGGGCTGGGCCGGGGCTGGGCCGCGGAGGGCGGGGGCTGCAGCCCGCGGCTCGGGGGGGGGGGGGGGGGAGGTTGCTATGCAAATGCGCCGCGGCCGGCGGCCCCCTTTACCCAGGGGCCCTCCGGTTGCCAAAACAGACCATTCCCGAGAACAGTCGCCTAGAAACGGGCGCTGTCATAGCAGCCTCGGTGCAGCCGGAGCCAGCCGCGCTGCCAGGAGGAGCCGGGTCAGGGTGTTCAGACCTCCTGAGCACCCCCTCCCCAGCCCGTCTCCACCTCGGGGAGGGGAGTGGCGGCTCGGGCCCCTCCTTGGAGCAGGGGAGGGCACTAATTGGATTGGAACACTCCAGAAACACACCAGCGGCTCCTCCCCGGGGTGTGTGGGGGGGGGGAGGAGCGTGAGCGGGAGGCTTCAGACCGTCTTTGTGATGGGTCTCAGCCTCGCCTTCCCTGCGGCCTCGCCCGGCTGGGTCCCCACCGGCCTCTGCCCACCCAGCACCTTCGCAGCTCACCACGGACAGCTGGCGATAGAGCGGTGGAGGGGAGGGCGCAGACAATGACCAGATAACCAGAAAACCTTCAGCAGTGATGAGGAGGGGTACACGATGGGTCTGGCCTGCTTTGGAGGGGTTGGGGGGGACTGCAGGTTCCTGCCGCTGCCAGGCCTCTTCACCCCCCACCCCGGCCCCTCCTCTTGCCTCCTCTCACCCAGCCTGGGCAGCCTGGCCGTCCCTGCGCCCTGGGAGCGGGGACTTTTTCCTACCTTATTTGGCAGCAGGAGAGCTTGTCATTTAAGGGGGTGTATCTTCCCTCTTAACAATTACACTACAGCATGAGCCTCGAAAAGGCAGGACCCGTCTCATTCTGGGATGGCACACCTTGACCACCAAGAGCAAGACTGATTTTTAACAGATGGGCTTGAATGCCATGCTGGTGATCTTTATCACCTGGGGAGGCCTCTACTGTTGCCTTTGCAGCAACTGTTCTAGATTGGTCTTCAGAGACTACTTAAAACCTCAGGAAACCCAGGGTCTGGGGAGGGGAGGAGATTTCAGTGATAGCTTCAGGGACATTAGGCGGACAGTTGGGCTTACAGAGAAAGTGAGGGACTCCTCAGGTCGGCATTCCCTGGGGTCCAGATGCTCCTGCCAGGGGGGTAGCTCGAGCCTCACAGGGATGGGAGGACAGCCTTGTCCCTGGGTGCTGGGCGAGGGAGTCTCCTTCATGAGTCACAAGAGGCCTTGGGAGCCATGTGGATTGTATAAACATAAAGTCTTCCTTCAATCTTGTTTAGTAAGGCAGCATGTAAATGTGTGACCTCTCCCCTTTCTCCTTTCCTTCCTCATGTGTGGAGTGCCTACGCTGTGCCAAGCACTGGGGATACACAGAATGATAAAATTGATACCATTCTATATTTGTAAGGAGGAAAACAATGTGTAGTATAAGGAACATTTGCCATGCATTATGAGTACCAGTACTTTTTGATGAACTTTCCTTTGTTTGTGGGGTTTCCCTACATCATAAATCTCACTTCTCTGAAGGAAAGGCCAGAAATTTACTTTCCCAGACTCCTTTGCAACAAAGGTGTCGGCAGGTGACTTAGGCTCCACCGATCAGAAACATCCACGTGAGGTTTTGATTTGTAATAGAGCAACAGGAAGCAGTCATCCTAGGGAATGGGGGTACAGGAAGAGGCATCTGGCCTTCAGAGCAACAGGAGGGGATGTTCAAAGGTCCAATTTCCACCATTGGTGAAGGGGGTGAGTTGAAGCAAGTTGTCAAATTCGTGTTGATGGCTGCCGTGGTGGCTTGACTAGAAAAGTATCATCCTTGAATTCTGAGCCTCTGTGTTTATCTTCCCTTCTGGATTCTGTGAGCCGCTGAATATTTTGTTTAAAGATTTTATTTATTTGAGAGAAAGAGCACATGAGCGTCTTGGGGGAGGCACAGAAGGAGAGGAAGAAAAAGAAGACTCCCTATGCAGGGCTCAATCCCATGACCTGGAGATCATGACTGAGCCAAAATCAAGAGTCAGTTGTTCAACTGACTGAGCCACCCAGGCGCCCTTTGAATGCTTTTTAATAAATTCCTTTTCTGTTAGAGTGGATTCTATTGTTTGCAACTAAGAATCCCCGATACAGATGGGTGGATGAATGAATAGGTGGATGGATGCGCAGGTTGTAGGGTGGGTGGATGCATAAAGGATGGATGAATGGGTGGGTGGAAGGGTGGATAAAGGGTGGGTGGGTAGACAGGCACCAAAATACGGAGTGATTTTTTAGGGATGGGACTGTAGGGTTTTTTTCTCTTCGGTTCTCTGTATTTTCTTTTCCTTCTCTTCCTTCTCCTTTTTTCTTCTATAAAAGCATGTTACTTGCATAATAATCAAGTTATCCGAGGGGCATCTGGATGGCTCAGTTGATTGAGGCTCAACTCTCTGATTTTGGTGTAGGATCCTGAGATCAAGCCTGTGTCAGTCTCCACACTCAGTGGGGAGTCTGCTTGGGATTCTCTTTCCCTCTGCCCCAACACCCACTCATGTGCGCACTCTCGCTCTCTCTCAAATAAATAAATAAATAAATAAATAAATAAATAAATAAATCTTTAAAAACAAAATAATAAAGGTATCAGAAACCAACATCTGGGGCACCTGGGTGGCTCAGTGGTTGAGCATCTGTCTTCGGTTCAGGTGGGGATCACGGGGTCCTGGGATCGAGTCCCACATCAGGCTCCCCACAGGGATCCTGCTTCTCCCTCTGCCTGTGTCTCTGCCTCTCTCTCTGTGTCTCTCATGAATAAATAAATAAAATCTTAAAAAAAAAAAAAAAGAAAGCGAAAGAAAGAAATCAACATCTAGAAGAGCTCACAGCTCAGGGAAGGTAAAAGCCAGCCCCAAATACTTGGGGTTCTAAGCCAGTATGAGCTCTGGAGGGGCCCCGACTCTGGACTTAGATCCCACTGTCTCAACAAGCCTGCCCTGGCCATCCGCAAAATGTCTTCTTTCCTCCTCTGAACCCCACACCCAAGGCTTTACCCACCAATCAGGGGCACGTACTGGCTCATCTCGCTTTGTGACATTTTCCTATTGTTACCCAAGGATCCTATTTTACCTTGAGCAAGAATGACACACACACTTGTGACTCATCTCATATTCTTCTCCCCTCTCCCATCTCTGGCTTCCAGCAGCTCTGACTGTCCCTTGACTGGCAAGCACCACACCACGATCTTGTTCTACAGCTATGTTTCACACGTCCTGTCCCATTGCCCAGCAGAGATTGTCAGTTCCACAAAGGCTGGGATTAAACTTAGGTGATTTTTGTAAACTCCATTCCCCATGGCTTTGTGGGAGGGATTTTAAGATATGCCTATAGAAGATGAGGATTATACGGTTTCTTTTCACCTCGACTTTCCATAGTTAACTTATTTATTTTTTCTAAGATTTTATTTATTCATGAGAGACACAGAGAGAGAGGCAGACACACAGGCAGAGGGAGAAGCAGGCTCCCTGCAGGGAGCCCAGTGTGGGACTCGATCCCAGGACCTCAGGATCACGCCCTGAGCTGAAGGCAGACGCTTAACCGCTGAGCTACCCAGACGTTCCTAGACTTATTATTTTTAAGTAAGCTCTATGCCCAACGTGAGGCTTGAACTCATGACGCCAAGATCAAGAGGCGCATGCTCTACAGACTGAACCAGCCAGGTGCCCCATTCCATAGTAAAATTAGAAGCTTTTGCAGGCAGGGCCCTTTTCATCCTTCCTTCCTTCCACACTTAATGTCTATGATATGCCAGGTAGTTACAGTTTAATATCAAGAAACAAATATAAATAGGCAAATAAGTGGAGAAAAAAAAAGTGACAGAAGAGCTTGGATAGTCGAGTGTGCAGGGGAGAGGAGCGTGATTGGTTGGGAGTGGAGAAGGGTTTTTCATAGGCGTAATAATCAAGCATTTATTCTAGGACAGCTCTGTTCTCAGTATTTAACATATGCTCATGGGCTTAATCCTCAAAATAGCAACATGGCAAGTACTGTTGTTCCTTCCATTTTGCAGGTGAGGAAACTAAAGCCCTGGGACGTTTAATGTCATATAGGGCGGCTGCAGAGCTAGGATGTGCAGTGTGGCCTCTGGGCTCTAACATCAGTGAGCTTCACTGCTGCACTGTACTGCATGGAACAGATTCTGGAAGGGTGAGTAGTGAACACCAAGCATGGAGGCCTTTTACACAGTCCAGGGGATGGAGGACTGCCCGTTCATTCAGCTCAGATGTGGGTGCACAGGGGAATGGTATGGTGCGAGGCAGGGGCCGGGGGTGGTCACTCAATAATAGGAGAGAACCCACTACCCAGGCTTGGATGTTAGTTCTCTTTGTTTCTTGAAAGGTGATTTCATTGCAAGTTCAAACCTCTTGCATTATCTCCTCTCTAGACCACTCTCTCAACTTCTGGCCTGCTTCTTACCCCAACTGCTGTAATGGCTCTTGGGCATCTAGAATCAACCTTTTCCTCAAAAAACAAAAACAAAAAACAAAAACAGAAACAAACCCACATACGCCCTCATACCCCGTGGTATACGCCCCCCCCCCCCCCCCCCCCGCCACTTACCTGTCGCCCTCACCAATCCCTTTTGGCCAATCCCATTGAATTTTGGTACTTCCCCCTGTACCCGCCTCACTGTGCTCTGACCCAGAAGACAGACTTGGGAGATGTGTCCTCCTCTGAACTGCTCTGGCAGTGGGGTCTCAGCCAGTTGTCTGCCCAGGGGCTGCCGGGTTATTGCACGAAGTCTCTGTGTCTATTTGTACTACAAATATTGTCTGCCGACTGTATAAGTAATGTCTGGGTATAACTGTGCTGCTGCCTTTCAGCTGTGCTGAATCCCTGGTCGTGTTTCCACTGTGAATTTCCCTGGTTGACTAAAACCCTAAATAACAGCCCCTTTCATTTGCAGGATTGCAACAATTTCCAAAGGAGAAGGGAAAGGAGTCCTCCTGCTGGAGCAGGTTGGAAGCCACTGAGCCAGGCTGTCATCCCGGCTCAGCAGAGACCGAGTCATGAGACCTGAGGTCAGGTTCCAGCCCCTCCCCTGACTGGTTGGGTGATCTTGGGGGGAGCCCCATGTGACTTAGAGAACTTCGGTTTCCTTATCCCGGAGTGGAGATCATGAAAATTATTTGACAGGATTGTCAAGGAGATTAAATGAGATAGATCAAGGGTTTTGAAAACTGTGAAGTGTGGCACAAATGGAGGGATTGTTGTGGGGGCATCTAAGAAGGTTACACATATTGTCAGCTTCTCCAGGGCAGGGACAGTCCCCTCAGTGACTCCTGTTGTCCCCATCACCTCTTGCCCTCAATGCAGGTCCTTGAGATGACCTCATATAAACACCACCAAGTGACTAGCACAGTGGCCCAGCGCACAGAAGGGGCTTAATACATGGTAGGTGGTATGCATGCTATGTGCTTCTGGTTCAGATCCTCTCTCTGCCCTTTGCTGGGTTAGGGAGTGTGACCGTGGGCAAGGTCAGCACTGACAGGCTCTCGTGTCCTCGTCTACCACACGGTTGATGGGACAGCAGCTAGTTGGTGAGGCGGCCACAAGACTCAGGGATCTTTCTGTGCAACAGAGCCAGCCCCAAACCAAGCACTCCATGGACAGCAGCTGTGGGTTTACTATTATTTACTGAGCGATGCTTTCAGAGGTGGTGTGAAAAGGTCACCAGGCTGGGAAGGAGGAAATCTAGCTCCTGGTTTTGGTTCAGAGTCAGCAAAGGACTTGAGAGACAGTGAGACACTCGGGTGCAGCCTCTCAGGGTCAGCACAGAGGAGGTAGCCGTATATACGCTGGCCCGCATCTCCCCCAGGTGTAGGCTAGCTCCCCAGAGCAAACTCACTCGGGAAAGGGGCACATATTGAACCTGTGGATAAATATCACGGTTGTCCAACATGCAAACGTTCCTGTTTGCATCCTTTCCCACCAGAGCGAGAAAGTCTGTCTCCCTATGCCCCAACCCATCGACATCTTTTAAGTTTCAATTTTATGAATTTTTTGACTAGGTCATATTTTCAGGTGGCACAAAATTTTAAAAGGTGGCTGGCTCTGTCTGTAGCACATGTGACTCTTGATCTCGAGGTTGTAAGTTTGAGCCCCACATTGGGTATAGAGATTACTTAAAAATAAAAAATAAAAAAAGAAGAAAAGAAGGTGCAAAGGGACATACAGTGAGAAGCAGCCTCCTCACCCCCATTCCAGCCATCCAAGTATCTTTCTCAGAAACACAAACTTTGATCTCAGCGTATCTGACAAGTGGAAAATGATATCAGGCTAAATAAATCTAACTATTTAAAGAAAATTGTACGGAGGTGCCCGGGTGGCTATTGTTTAAGCATCTGCCTTTGGCTTAGGTCATGATCCCAGGGGCCTGGGTTCAAGTCCTGAGTAGGGCTCCCTGCTCAACCAAGAGCCTGCTTGTCCCTCTGCCTCCTGCTCCCCCTGCTTGTGTTCTCTGTCTCTGTCAGATAAATAAATTCTTAAAAAAAGAGGAAAATTTCATGTTTAAAGTTTTTTAAAAGATTTATTTATTTATTTGAGAGAGAGAGAATGAGATCGTGGAGGGGGAGAGGGAGGGGAGAAGGAGAGAAGCAGACTCCCCGATGAGCACAGAGCCCCATGTGGGGCTGGATTCCACCACCCCTGAGATCAGAACCTGAGCTGAAATCAAGAGTTGGACACTTAACCTATTGAGCTGCCCAGGTGCCCCTGTTTAAAATTTTTCAAAAAATTATTTTATTTTTATTTATTTTTTAAAAAGTTTTATTTATTTATTCATGAGAGAAATGGAGAGAGAGAGAGAGAGGCAGAGACACAGGCAGAGGGAGAAGCAGGCTCCATGCAGGGAGCCCGACGTGGGACTCGATCCTGGGACTCCAGGATCCCGCCCTGGGCTGAAGGCGGGGCTAAACCGCTGAGCCACCTGGGCTGCCCCCCACAAATTATTTTATAGCTTAAGGTTTGTACCTCTTAATCACCTTCATCTGTTCTGCCCACCCCCCACCACTCCTCCCCTCTGGCAACCACAGGTTTGTTCTCACTATTATTTTTATGTGAAAACACACCAGAATAAATTTTAGAGTAGAATGTGTCTGAATGAACTCTAAGATGAAACCAGAAACTTCAACGAAATTTTATGTTCAGGGGTGGGGCGGGGTGGAGACCTGCTCCTGGCTCTGCCTCCTACCTTCTAATGGGGGGAAACTCTGAGTTAGCCTATAATGTGCAAACTGTGCAAACTTTTTTTTTCTTTAAGATTTTATTCATTTATTCATGAGAGACACACAGAGAGAGGCAGAGACACAGGCAGAGGGAGAAACAGGCTCCATGCAGGGAGCCTGATGGGGGGGGGGGGCGGGGGGGGGAGGCGGGGGGGGGGGGGGGAATTGGTCCCAGGACCCCGGGATCAGGACCTGAGCTGAAGGCAGCCACTCAACTGCTGAGTCACCCACGTGTCTCCTCTAACATGCAACCTTGACAATGCCCCTGCTCCTCTGGGCTATCTGGGTCCCCCCCCCCCCCCCCCGTCACCTGTGTACAGTCCTTCCCTTGCGCCTCTTCCCTTCCATAACTTGGCCACCACCTTGTTGCCTGACCTTCAGTAAGTCACGTACACTGTGGGCTGAGGTTTCCCTCACTTGTGAAAAAGAGGGCTTGGACCGGGCCCATTCCAGGTGAAACATTCCAGGACTAATCAACTAATTCACATTAGAGTGTAGATGACTGATAGAGCTTAATGTATTACCTCTCCCGTGGGTGGGAGTATTTTAAGAGATGCAATTTCTCATCCCCAAAGAATGAAGGTGCGTGGTGCAATTGCAGACATGGTCACAGGTGGGTGGGGATGATGGGGGAGGGGAGGAGGTGCCTTTCCTGACTTTTCTCCAGGGGTCACTGAGGGGTGGGGGCGCTGCTCCAGCCAGGGGTGGTATCAGCCCTGAGGGGCATGTGCCTGTTGGGTCTCCCTCCAGAGCTTACACCATACTGATTTCTCTCCGGCAGTGGGCAGGAGCAGGGTTTTGTCATACAGAAAAATCCCTCATCAGGGAAACCCACGTGTGTGGCCTAGGAAACTACCCTGTCGCCCGGGGCACAGGGTGCGGTGGGGCGTTTGGCAGCTTGACTTCCAGGTTCACAGGTCAGTTCTCAGCCTGGGCAAGTGAGGAGACCTCCGTTGGAGGGCCATCAGCTCTCTGCCAGAGCAGGTGGTCCTGCCACACCTGGATTCAGGACGTCTGCTTTTTGCCCAGGGAGAATGGCTTTGCCAAATACTATCTGGTTTCATTTTCGGTAGGAGGTTTGGTTTGGCTTCTGAATTTTCAGGGTGGGCACGAGAGGGGGGTGGTCTGCAGCTGCCATTAGCCCTTCAGAAGTAAGAAAGGCATGTGATTTTTTTTTTAAGATTTTTATCTATTTATTTATGAGAGAGAGAGAGAGAGAGAGAGAGAGAGGCAGAGACACAGGCAGAGGGAGAAGCAGGCTCCATGCAGGGAGCCCGATGCGGGTCTCGATCCCGGATCTCCAGGATCAGGCCCTGGGCCAAAGGCAGATGTTCAACTACTGAGCCACCCGGGCTGCCCAGGGCATATAATTCTTGATCTCGGGGTTGAATTCAAGCCCTACATTGGAGGTAGAGAAGAAAGGAAGGAAGAAGGGAGGGACGGAGGGAGGAAGGAAGGAAGGGGAAAGGCATTTATTTCTCTGGCTGGTGAAGTTTAGGGTGAGTGGCCTTGTACAGGACGTAGTGCTATAACCCAGTTCATCTTCCCTTTCAGCTCCCTCTGAGGTACCATGGGGTCTCACCTGATGTCTGGGCCTCCCTTCAGTGGAGGCAGTGGGGGGTCAGTCTGTGCTCCAGGCAAGGGAGTGGTTAGGCGGGAACAGAACCCTAGGGCAGGGGTCAGCAGTCCCTACTCTCTTGGCAGTGCTAACGGGCTCAGACCAGCCGAGGATGGACACGTCTCACTCTCCACCAGAATCGCCACCATCCTACCCCTTCTTCTCTCTGGAACAGGGCAGCTTCTCAAGACCTTCTCACTGACAGAGTGCTTAACCCATGAACCTCACCATGGAGCGCACAGAGCCCTGGACCCTCCTTTCTCAGAGCATGGTGTGAGACTAGCTGCATCAACTTCACCTGGGAGCCACTTAGAAATGCAGAATCTCGGGCCCACTGTAGGCCACTGAATCAGAATCTGGATTTTTCCAAGATACCAAGTTGATTACATTAATGTCTCAGAAAACTTGGTCTGGATGATGCATGCCTTGGGGAGATTGGAGGAAAGAAATTGAAGCTCCCTAAGGGGGCCTCCTCTGAGAGGGAGACTCATCCACAAGCCTGGTTCGATGGAAGGAAGTGAACACAGAGGAAAAGACTGAGGAAGGCACTCCAGGAAAACATGCTGAAATAGGCAGGTGCCTTTAACGTTTTTAGTTTAAATCATTTATTTATTTATTTATTTATTTATTTATTTATTTATTTATGATAGTCACACAGAGAGAGAGAGAGAGAGGCAGAGACACAGGCAGAGGGAGAAGCAGGCTCCATGCACCGGGAGCCCGATATGGGATTCGATCCCGGGTCTCCAGGATCGCGCCCTGAGCCAAAGGCAGGCGCCAAACCGCTGCGCCACCCAGGGATCCCACGTTTTTAGTTTAATTTTAATTTTATTTTTCATAGGCAATTCACTCACATGGTTAAAATTCCAAGGATGCAGAAGGATATGTCAGACAGCTTCTTTCCCACACCTGTCTCCCAGCCGTTTCCTCTCTCAAAAGCAACGTGTGTTACTAGGGGAGAGGTATAAGATATTATGCAAATAAAACTCTGTGTGTGTGTTCTTAACTTACCAACCCCTTTTTAAAAATTCAAATGGTAGTTTGCCATACATAGTGTCTAGACCTTGCCTTTTTCTTTTTTTTTAAGATTTTTTTTAAGATTTTATTTATTTATTTGAGAGAGAGAGAGAGAGAGAGAGAGAGAGAGCAGGAGCTGGGAAGCAGGCTCCCGGCCTAGCAAGGAGCCTGACATGGGGCTCTATCCCAGGATCATGACCTGAACTGAAGGCAGATGCTCAACCGACTGAGCCACCTAGGCACCCCTATTTTTATTTGAGAGATAGAGAGAGAGATTACAGGTGTGCACAGTGGGAAGGGGGAGAGGGAGAGAGTGTTAAGTAGACACCCCGCTGAGCATGGAGCCTGATGTAGGGCTCTATTTTATGACCCTGAGATCAGGACCTGATCAGGTCGGAAGCTTAACCACCTGAACTACCCAGGCACTTCTAGACCTTGCTTTCTTCACTTCATAGATCTTGGACATTGTATATCTATCTATCTATCTATCTATCTATCTATCTATCTATCTTTGTATTATATATCACATGCAAAGAATGCCCCAGGTTGTATTCCAGCTGAATGTTATTCCACTTGAAGAAGACACCTTAACTTATATTGCCAGGCCCTCATTGATGGACTTCATCATATGTATGTATAGAGGTGTGCGTATGTATGTATTTTTTATACAGCTTAATCATAGACTCGTAGAATCTGGAAGGTCCACATTCCCACCCTGCTTAGGAATTCTTTTAGAGTATCCTACTGTACTTCGATGAAGAGGTCAATGTCACCTCCTCTGGGAAGTGCCACCTCCCTCTCCCTCCCATAGCTTTGCCAGAGCTCTAATTACCTGTTAGAATTTAGGCAAAGGCAGGATAACAACTGCTTTTGTATACTCTTGAACCATCTCATCATAGCGCATAGCAGGTGCCCAACCAAGGTGAACAGAATTGAATTGACCATCCCTGAGAGGAAAATCCTCCAAATCCGGCTGCCAGATCCCTCTAGTGACAGAGATCTCACTGCCTCAAATGCCCATTCTGCCTTTGAGAGGCTGTATCAAAAGTCCTGGATGAAGCAAAATCTGTTTGCCAATGACTTTTATTCCCAGGTTCTAGTGCATCTTCTCAAACAACATGGAAGTTGAATCCCTTTATCAGGTATTTAAGATACCCATCTTTCTCCAAACCAAATACTCCCAGTTTTCTATGGGTCCTGGTTCCACAGCCTTTCCCTTGTCACCACATTTTAAAATCTTTGTTCTGTGTATGCCAAACCTCTTATAATATGCTCTCTATATTTGATTAGAAGACTTCCACATTTTATTGGAATTTTTTATTTTTACTTTTTTGGAATTTTTAAAAAGATTTTATTTATTTATTCATGAGAGACATACAGAGAGAGAGAGACAGAGACACAGGCAGAGGGAGAAGCAGGCTCCATGCTGGGAGCCTGATGTGGGACTTGATCCCGGGTCTCAAGGATCAAGCCCTGAGCCAAAAGGAGGCGCTCAACCACTGAGCCACCCAGGCATCCCTTTTTGGGATTTTTTTAAAAAAGATTTTATTTATTTGAGAGAGAGAGAGAGATGGGATGCCTGGGTGGCTCAGCAGTTGAGCATCTGCCTCCAACTCAGGTCATGATTCTGGCTTCCCAGGATCGAGTCCCATGTCGGGCTCCCTGCGTGGAGCCTGCTTCTCCCTCTGCCTGTGTCTCTGTCTCTCTCTGTGTCTCTCATGAATAAATAAAATAAAATCTTTAAAAAGAGAGGGAGAGAGAGAGAGCACATGCAGAGGGAGGGGCAGAGGGAGAGAGAAAAACAGATTCCCTGATGCGAAGGGAACAGGATACAGGACTCGATCCCAGGACCCTGTGATGATGACACGGGCGGAAGGCAGACAGACACTCAACCGACTGAGCTAGTCAGGTGCCCCTGGAATTTTAAAAAAGTTTTATTTATTTAAGTAATCTCTACACCGAACTTGGGGCTCAAACTCACGACCCTGAGATCAAGAGTCATACACTCTTCTGACTGAGCCAGCCAGGCACCCTGGAATTTCTAATATAAATGCTGAAATGAGCCAAGTCAAAATCAACCCCATGGCACACCACCACTGGGTTTCCTCTACACTGATCTGCATTCCTTGGGTTGAAAGCAATGAGGTTAGCCCTCCATTTTTTTTTTAAAAGATTTTATTTATTTATTCATGATAGACACAGAGAGAGAGGTAGAGACACGGGCAGAGGGAGAAGCAGGCTCCATGCAGGGAGTCTGACGTGGGACTTGATCCTGGGACTCCAGGATCACGCCCTGGGCCGAAGGCAGGTGCTTAAACCTCAGGGCCACCCAGGCTGCCCAGCCCTCCATTTTTTAGTGTGACAGCTAATATGCTGGCTAATGTAGAAACTGTCAGAGGAGCGAAGGTTGAGAGTAAAAGTAGAGCACCAACTGTGGAAAATAGAATGGCAATTCCTCAAAAATTAGACATAGAATTACCATATGATCCAACAATCCCACTCCTGAGTATATATCCAATAAATTGAAAGCAGGGAATCAAACACAATTGCACACCCATGCTCATAGTGACATTTTCACAATGTCTATTGATGGATGAATGGATAATGAAAATGTGGTCTATATATACGATGAAATATTATTCATCATTAAAAATGAAATTCTGACACTTGCTACAACATGGACGAGCCCTGAAGACATTATGTTGAATGACATAAGCCTGACACAAAAGGACAAATGTTGTACGATTCCACCTGTATGAGGTATGTGGAGTAGACAAATGGATGGGTGGTGGTGATGGTTGCACAGCCCTGTGAGTGTACTTTATGCCACAGAACCATATACTTGAAAATGGTTAAAATGGTCAATTTTGTGTTGTGTGTATTTTACCACAAGTAACAAACAAATGGAGCAGCAGGCTGTTGAGTGGTGGGAAAGGCCTGGCCCGTAGGCCAGATGGACAGCTGAGTCAGGATGAGCTGGAGAGTAGGTTGGCCCTGTCAAAACCAAGAGGAGATGGGGGATCCCTGGGTGGCGCAGCGGTTTGGTGCCTGCCTTTGGCCCGGGGCGCGATCCTGGAGATCCGGGATCGAATCCCACGTCGGGCTCCCGGTGCATGGAGCCTGCTTCTCCCTCTCCCTGTGTCTCTGCCTCTCTCTCTCTCAGTGTGTGACTATCATAAATAAATAAAAATTAAAAAAAAAAAAAAAAAAAAAAACCAAGAGGAGATGGAAGAGGAGACTCAGCCTGCCCTGGTGAGCCTTAAAATCCAGGCTGAGAAGCTAGGATTTGAGATCCCCACTGAGTCACTCCTTGGGGTTTAGCCCTTGTCTCTTTGGAATGAACAATTTCCTGGGAGTGGGGTAGCTCAGGAGCTTGATAGCTAGCTTATTATGTTAGTGAGGATAGGTTTGCTAGTTGGCCAAGAGTTGTGGGCTTATGGTCAGAATGAGGACAGGTGGCACAGCACACTGCCTGGCGAAGTCTGGAGGAGGAAGGTTAGAAAGACCCCTCATTGTCCCAGGAGCCTCATAACTCTGGACTCATGATTTCTCCATTCACTGTCTACATGCCTGTAAGTGTTCTATGCCTCAGTTTCCTCATCTATAAACTGGGGATAATAGTGACCTTGTATAATGGGGATAAAATAAAAAATGTACATGCTAAGTGTTTGTCACTTTTCTATTCCACCCTCCCTGCCAAGGTGGAAGCCTGACCTACTAGGATGCTGTTTCAGGTGAAGTAGGCAGAGCAAAGCCCAGGGTAGGTGAAATTTCTTTTCTTTCTTTCTTTCTTTTTTTTTTTTTTTTAAATCTGAGGAAAACTACAGATTTTTTTGTTAAGATTTTATTTATTTATTAGAGACACACAGAGAGACAGGGAGACAGGCAGAGGGAGAAGCAGGCTCCATGCAGGGCTCTTGATGAGGGACTCCATCCCGGGTCTCCAGGATCACGCCCTGGGCTGAAGGTGGCACTAAACCGCTGAGCCACCCGGGCTGCCCTGAAAGTTTTGTGTTTTTTTTTTTTGTAAAAATTTTTTTTAAATTTTTATTTATTTATGATAGTCACAGAGAGAGAGGCAGAGACATAGGCAGAGGGAGAAGCAGGCTCCATGCACCAGGAGCCCGACGTGGGATTCAATCCCGGGTCTCCAGGATCACTCCCTGGGCCAAAGGCAGGTGCCAAACCGCTGTGCCACCCAGGGATCCCTGAAAGTTCTTTAAATAAAAAAGGGGTGGAGGTGCCTGGCTGGCTCTGTCAGTAGAGCATGCAACTCTTGCTCTTGGCATTGTGAGTTCAAGCCCTACCTTCGGCTAAGAAAGAAAGAGGAAGGGAGGGAGGGAGGGAGGGAGGGAAAAAGGAAGAGAGGAAGGAAGGAAGGAAGGAAGGAAGGAAGGAAGGAAGGAAGGAAGGAAGGAAGGAAGGAAGACACTACAGTGGAGAGGAGGGCAAGGGAGGGGAAGTGGGGAGGGGTGAGAGGGGAGGACAGGGGAGAGGAGAGGAGGCATGTGGGTGGCTCAGTCAATTAAGCATCTGCTTTCAG